ACTGTCTTTGACTTGAAGAAATTCTTTAACATTTAAACCTGTTGTCTGCATATTCCAGCACATAAAATAAGAGAAGGATCTTTTGAGTTTGCACTCTTTCAAATAGATGCAAGTCAAACACAGCAGGAAATAAATAAAATCAACGACTCAGCAGGCTTACAGGAAAGTAACAGTAATCTAATTACTTTTTTGCAATAGTAATCCCTTACTTTACTCGTTATTTGAAAAACATAATTGGATTACCGTTATGCATTACTGCCCTTCTCTGGTGCTGTCACAACTAATACCAGTAACAGGCTCCAGTATGACAACACTGATGAAGAAATGTGCCACAGAAGACTGAATGTCCAGAACCTGATTTTCCATCCATTTTATTCCTGCTATATTTATGACCGTGTGTCTGGATCCTGCCCAGACCTGCACTCTGCTGCATTTGATAAAGACTCTGTGACACAGCAGCTATTAAAACAACTGCTTCATTTATTCATTCAACAGGCTAAAGGAAGCCATCTGTGCCACTATTCAGAGTCAAGGTATAAAGACGCCCCTGCAGAAGTGATTCCAGTGAGTAATTCATTCATTCATATTCACACTTACCTGTGTTCAGTTTATCTCTCCTTGCATCGTAGAGCATCCCCAAAGCAAAGGGACGACTCAAAGCAGCGACCGTCACCTGATCTGAGGCCATGTCTCCGACCTGAGAGAAACAATCCAGCAAAATGCATCAAAACCAAATATTTATTTATTTATTTATTTATTTCTAAACTGGTCGTGCAGCACAGTTCACGCGCATTCTTTTCAAATTAAAAACCATCTAGAGCAGCACACATTGATCCACATTCATGTTTTGTTCTGATCTTGGTGACATCACAGCACAATGGTTGCAGCCGTGGTCCTGAAACAGGTTCCTGCATCAGTCAGTGTTTAAATCTTTAAATGGTTTTGATCTCATTAGACAAAATTTGCAGATCTCAGTGAATCTCTTGTGACTACAAAACACATTTTCCAAACTGATTCATATCTCCGGCACATCCTCCAGGTCGTTCTTAAACACAAAACTGCTCACTCGAGACTGATGAGATGAACCTGATATAATATAAGATATGATTCCTCGGGTAGATAAAAGAGGAGGAGGAAGATCACATGGACAATAAGATGCTTACATGTCTCAAAATATGATTTATTCATGTGAAAAGTGTCCTCTTCCTCTTTCTGCACACACAAAGTAATGTTTCCTTGATCCATTCCACCTGCTTTTGTCTTATTATTATTTTGATGGGAAACTATAATTTGAACATTTATTTTTAATACTGAGTTTTGTGTTTAGAGTTGAGAGAAAGAAATACAAAACTCAATATTCAGGCTTAATTTAATTGTTCTCAGTTTTTTATTCGTTATTTTTAGCAGATTTCTTTTTCTTCCTCTCTGCCTCTCGGATCACTTCCATCATCACGTCATCGCCGAGTTTCAAGACTTACACCTGTAGTTGTGTTTCTGATTCATGTGTCACGAGTGGATCACAGTAAAAACTTGTTAGTGAGTC